CCCCCCCCCTCCACGGCCCCCACCTTGAGGAACATGCCGTCCCCCTTCTTCATGATGTTGGCCTTGTGCACCGCAGTCACGCGCTGCCGGTGGTTGAGGTAGGCAAACTCAAACGCGTACTCAGCGATGCGCAGGCTCTTCTCTTCCGTGATCACCTGGGTCGTGGCGGTTTTGGGTGGTTTGTACGATCAACAACATGCTGGCGGTCGTGGGTGTTGGCCATGATGGCATGCGGTTCAGCACGACCACACAGATATCGATATCGGCCAACACACGATTGATATCTGCTGCATCGTGCTGAGGCACATACCACCATGGCCGGCGAGGCGGCCCGTGCGCCTGCGCACACGCGGCGGCTGCGCCCGCCCACGGCGGGGCAACCACCCCCCCTGTTAGCCTGCTGCCCGATGCGGCCTGCACGCCGCCACCCCTGGCCCCTTACCCCATCCCACGCTCTCAACATGCAGGCTTCCCGACAGGCAGCCACCCCCCCACACACACCCACACAGCGCACACGCACACGAGCATCCCCCAACAAAGAACCCCCCGACCAACCCACACCCACACACGCACACACACGCACACACACACGCACACACAACCACACACATGATGACAAAGCACCCCTCAAGGGCCCCCACCCCCACCTTAACGCTCTCCACCACTCACGCCCCCCCCTCCGAGGCTCACAAACTCACACCCAAGCATTTCCCCACACCAACCGCCCCCCCCCACCTTGAGGCTCTCCACCACGCCGTCCACAACCTCGTGCTCCAGTCCACTGTACTCCCCCTCAAGGTTCTCCCTGGGGGGCGGCGGCAGCGACACCGCCAGCATCATCAGCGGCAGGACGCACAAGCACGCGCAGGAGCGCGCCCGGGGCGAGGCAGGTTCAGCGCAGGACTCTTAAACTAGGGGCGCGCACGCTCGGTCTGCAGGGCGCCAACACTGCCGCGGGCCGGCTCAGCGCGCCGTCCGCGGCCGCGCAAGGCGCGGGCCGGGGCCGGCCGGGCAGGGGGCCTCCCTTCAGGTGCACACGCCGACCATCCCGCGGCGCCACCCCCAGGGTCGACGTTTCTAGATGCCAAAAAAGGACAGGCGCGTAATCCCTGGGCTGCGTGCACACCTGATGACGACGATGTCAAGGTCCTCGTGGCGGGTCTTGAGGCCCGGGATGCTGAAGCCGTGGACCAGGTTGACGACCAGATCAAGATCCTTCCGCAGCTGAGGGGGAAGATGTGTGCGTGCGCATGTGTATGTGTGTGTGTGTGTACGTGTATGTAGTGTGTGCATGTGTATTTGTAAGGGCCAGTGTTTGTGTGTGTGAGTGTGTGTGTATGCGTATGTGTGTGTGTGCATGTGTATGTGTGTTTGTTTGTGTGTGCATTTTTGTGTGTGCATGTGTGTTTGTATGAGGGCGTGTGTGGGGGGTTGTTGGGTGTGACGCAGGTCAACAGGGGTTTCAGGAGGGGCGAGGGGTACCAGGGGCGAGGGGGAGGGATGCAGAGGGAGTTGCACAAGCAGGGAAGTCGAGCGGGCAGCAGAAGGGAGGGGGAGCAACAGGAGTAGTGGGGGCAGGCACGTGGCGCGCGGCGTCGCAAGGCGCTGGGCGGGGTGGCAGGAGGGCAGCCGTGAGGTGAGACGAGAGCGGGCGGCGCCTGGAATGTGAAGGGACGCAGCTGCTGGAGGCACACGCGTCGCTCTACGGCCAGCCGACGACGGTGTACGCGGCCGCTTCTCGGCTGTGCGCCAGGCGCGTGAGGGCTCGTGTGCTCGTGTGCCCGGGTGACACCGGAATGCTTCTGGTGGTCCTCCGAGAGGCTGCCTCGGCTGCGTGTGGTCACGGTCGCCCCGGGCATAGGAGAGACTGAGCCCCTGTGGCTGCTGTGCCCCCACCTGCACGTTGAGTGACTGTGTTGAGGTGTTCTTGTGCGAAAGCGGCGTGAATAGCGTCCCCTTGAGGCACACCTTTGGGAGGGGGGGACAGGCCAGGCGCGGCGGCCGGGCGGGCACGGCTTTGACGCGGCTGGCGACATCAGGCGCGGGTGCTGCGAGGGGCGCACACACATGCAGGCCGACGGCGGCCTTGGAATTTCCAGACTGGTAGGTGTCTGGCGCAGCGCCTCCGCAGAGACTGTCACTGGATGCAGCGTCCGGGCATGCAATGTGAAGTGATGCTGCTGCGGCTGCAGGGGCAGCTGCTACTGCTGCCGCTGCCGCTGCCGCGACAACTGCTGCGGTGGCTGCCCTTCCCTGCAAAGACCCGGACTTGCCCGGCTGCAAGCCTGGCGTTTGCCTGCAGCTGCCCTATTTCTGCTGCTGCTGCCACCCAAGGACAAACCGCTCGTTACAGGGTGGCTGCTCATCCGCGCTGCGCACCCCGTTCTTGCGAATCGAGTCCAGGACATCCTTGGGCACCTCCAACCGCGGCGTGCCGTCGGGCAAGGAGCCTGACAAGCCGTCAAACCTGCGAGTGAGGGGCGGCCATTAGTAATCGACGCTGCTGGCGAAACCGCCGTCTGCAAGTCAGGCGCACCCGCGTGCGCACAGCAGCGGAACCAGCGGGCTGTATATGACAGCAACAGAAGTTATGCATCACCCACTATTGCAGCTGCCCCTGAAAGAGAGGGCCACGAGCGCGGCATGCCCGGGCGTCGCCAGAGCGCGCGCGGCGGCGCTCTGCTGCACTGCGCGCACCTTTCCCAGACGATGGGCGCCTCCAGCGCGTCCACGATCTGCACCACCGCGTCCGTCACCTCTGGCCCGATGCCGTCCCCTGGGATAAGGGTCACCGCCTTGGTCTTGCCGCTGCCCGGCTTCGGCATGTAGGTCAGCAGACCCCGCGCGGCGCCCTGCAAGCATCGATGACCGGTGTAGGTAACGCATTAATTTGACGTCATCAGGCCGCAGCAGCAGGGGCCACGACGAACAATAGGGCTTCGCTGCGGTGATCGAAAAGGCCGTGGCCCTCCCTCCCGGCGTACTTGGTTTCGACTGAAGGCACCGACGCATGCAGCTGCGATGCTGCCCAGCAGGGGCGACCCCTGCTGAAGCACACTGGAGAGCATGTTGGCTACCAGATCGGCCTCGTGGTGTGCAAAAGGATTCGTTGAGCTGCTGATGGCACCCAATTGTATCTTCGCAAGGTGCTTGAATTCCTCAGCGTGCCTGTTATGCGCTGCACCCAGGCACCCCCCAGCAGGCAGCGTGAGCGGCGGGCAGGGGGTCAACTCATCAATGCAACGGCGGCAACTGCATGCCCAGCTTTGCATGTGCATCATCATAGATCACGGGTTACAACTATATGCAAAAACACCGCTGGCGGTCCGCAACACTGACGAACAACTGCGACGCCTTGCCGCCATCCGCCGACAACGCAACATGGGACGACTCGGCGGCGGGGCGGCGTCCTCCCCACCAGCGGCCGCGCGCCTCCGAATCCGTGGCGGGAGGCCCTGCAACGACTCAGACGACGATGCGGCCCCCATATCCGAACCGGCCTCCGACCGGGCCCTTGAACATGCTTGAGAGCGCGAAGACATTGAAGCAGCCCACCGCCGCCAGCACGGCGACCTCCAGGACGGTGTACCACTGGGGAGGCGTGTGTGCCCAGGCGGGCGTGATTGCGGACCGGAAGTGGGGTAACAACAAGGGTGAGCGCGGCAGATAGAAGCGCTCAGCGCTTACGCACGAGCAGCGGAGCGATTGCGAGGGAGCTGCAGCGGCATGGATGCAGCCCAGTCAACATGCCGCCGATGCGCGTGTGCTGCGCCGTCCGGAAACTCCCAGCCACTTTCTCTGCCCCTCCCTTGACACACACATACATGCACATACGCAGCCACATGCACACATCAAACGCACCAGTGTGCGGCTGTTGTTGCTGCGCTGCGCTCCGAGCGAGGGACGGGGTGTGCCAGGGGTGGCTGGGGTCAAATGCGAAAACGGCAGCGCACTGCGAAAAGGGCAGCTGCCGACCACCGCACCCAGTGCCGGAGCGCAACAAGATGCAGCCCAGCGCAGGCGCGCATCGCGCCTCATGTTCTCCGTGCATGCCCGCGCCAGCCCCCGCCCTGCCCAAAGCGTCGCAGCCCCCTGTCCTGCCGCACGCTCCCGGAGGGCCCCCGAGCCCCCTCCCCAACCAATTCGGCGCTCACGCATGTCTGCACGTGGCGGTCCAGCTTCCGCTGCAGGTAGCGCTGCTCCCCATTCAGGATCTCCACCAGCTCGCCCACCACCATCACGTTGCGCTTCACCTCATCCAGGTGGCTCTTGCTGGCCAGCTCCTTGCCCCTGGGCCGATATCGCGGTCGGGGGTGCAGGTCGGACAGGGGTTGTGGTTCGGAGCCGCCCGTGTTGGTTTGCATCCAAGCGCTCAGGTGCCTCACCACCGACCCATTCCCCGTGTTTTACATTAATACAAGGCTGGCATCGGGGCGGGGGGTGGGGGGAGTGGCAAGTGAGTATTTTGAGGTGAGTATGGAAAGCCCAGGGCTGCTCCTCCAAAGTGTGGCATCTGCGGCCCCACGCCTTGCTGATCAGTTGATAAACGTTGTTTTGACACAACGAGGTGAGGGAAAGGGGCCGATGTCAGGCGGAGACGTGGTGTTGTGATGCAAGTATGGGGAAGATGCATTGAACCATATCGACGACTGCAAAGGGAAGCCTGCTGCCACCCCTTCAGGCGGCCCAAAGTTTGTGCCCTCCTTACCGTGTTTCCTGGCTGCCTTTGGGCACGTTGACCTGGCCGGGGCGCCTAGGGGAAGGCAGCACGGGTAGGGGGCAACACCAAGATATGATCAGTTTGGTGTTCACAGGCCAGAGGGGTGGAGGAGGGCACCATAAAAACTCTCCCCTGTCTAGAAGCACTGACGTGTCATAGACTTGGGCAGCCGGCGTTTCTCGGCATCTGCATGTGGCCCAAGTCTGGCCACTGAATGGCTGCCGGACATGGCTGCCTTACAACCCCCCTGCGCCCACCAGGTGCGGCCAGGGCAGGACGGCGGCTCTCGTGCCGCCGACCCAAGCAGCCGGGAGACTGGATTCATCAGTCACACAGACAGCTCGTCTGGGCCGCCAGACAGGCATCACGCAGTGCTGGCAAGAGAACAACGGTGCTCTGCCGGATATGTGAACAACAAATCCAACATCACTCTGTACAGCACTCTCACTACGCCACCGACCTGAGGTGGCCCAATGAGAAGTAGACCAGGTCAACGAGAACATCAGCCCGCGAGTTGCTCTGGAAGCTGACACGTTTGGAAGAAGGGGGGGGGGGAGCGGCGCACGGCGGCGGCGCGGCTGTTTACGGGCAGAAAACGCGACGGACAGCACCGTCGGGCGCGTCAGGCTGGCGGCCATGTTTGATCCAGCTGCAGTGCCTCACGCCGCGCGCTGCTTTGATGCAGACCACGCTCGTCCAAGCCTGGGGCATCCTCCCGCGAATGCTGTGGGCGCTGCCGCGCCCCCCATGTTTGGACCAGGCGCCCAGCAGGCCGGGGCCGCGGCTGCCCACGCTCCCAGCGCACCTGCCACCTCGGCAGCTGCCCACCCCCCCTCACCAGACTTTGTAGCTGCCCGCGCCGCGCGCGGCGACGTTGAAGTGCGCCTCAGTGTCCACGTGGGCCTGAGACCACATCAGCTCGCTAGTGGGGCTGTACAGCTGCGGCGGTCGTTGACGTGCACATGGTCAAGCAACAAATGCGTGGATGAGAGGAGGCTGCATGCTACGAAACTGGGTGACCCGCTTTGAGGCGGGGCGTGCAGGCCGAGCGCTTGCGACACGGCTGAAAGCAAAAACGGCGCACGCATGCCTTGAGGTGGTTCGTCGCTGCTCTTCGTTTTCGGGGCAAGCGGCCGCTGCCTCACCAGGACCGTCACGGCTGCGGCGTGGTGGGGCTGCCGGCTGGCGACGAAAAAGGCGCCCTCTATCCGTGGTCCGCCATGAACCTGCGGGGGCGGTTTTGGCAGCCCACAGCCGGCGGTGCCCCAGGCACGCGAGGCCGGCAGGAGTGCATGCCGTGAGCGGCGAAAGCAACGCGCATGGCGGTACGAGTGTGAAGGATCCCAGTCCTCCACATGCGCCAATCAATCACACAATCAATTGGTGGAAGAGTTGGCCATAACAGACAAGAACAGATGATGAGCGTGCGAGGATGGCAAGTCGGGCGGCACAGGACCAAGCGGCTCGCCCTCGCACCGTGAAATGCTCCTGGGAGACTGGTTCAGTCAAGCACTCTGTGCCGCCTGGGTGAACAGTGACCTTTAAGCAGCTGCAACCACGCAAAGCTGCTGCCATGCACAGGAGCGCCAGCAGCGGCGCCACAGGTGGTTGCCGTGCCACTGATCGCTGCGCCATTCTGGTTCGAGCTGCAAACAACCCTTGTTCAGCCTAGATGCGTGAGACTTCTATAAAAATCCGTGCTGCAGCAAGGCCTCTAGGCACTGATCACTCCCAGATCTCCTTGTCGTGCACACGAGCTGGATTGTAAACACGTCAAATTTATTCGGAATTAAGTGAGGTTGCGGCGCTTGCCAATCAACCCGCAAGCAGGTCACAGAGAGGTGCAACAGATCAACAGACAGTGGCAATGACAACTCAAACGAATTAAATCGGTGTGGGGTAACAGCTTGCAATTAGAAATCCTGCGTGTAAGGCGCAGGACAGATGCACCGTCCTGATTCCAGGATGCGGGCCAAGTCGGCACCAGGTCACCCGTGGTGACGACATTTGCTTGCCACATTCTGGGGCGAGTATCATGTGCTCGCCAGCTCGGTCGACCTCATCAGTAGCTAGACCTGCACCAGCAACGCCTAGTGGTGCATGCTCGTAGACGTGAAACTTGTGCCCTGCATGCACTGCGGTACTGCACTCACTGAGCGCGTGCGCTCTCGCATGCTATGGATCAACAGAGGTATGTGGACCCCACAACACTGAAATAGAGGGTCTATAAGCCCTGAGAGAATGGTGTTGGTATAGGTGACTTGGCAGCAGTGCCTCGCATGCGAGCCTAGCTCAAAGGATTGGCGAAATGGTTGCTGGTTGGGTGGCAGCCCATAGGTAAAAACGGCGGCCGGCTGTCTCAAGCCGCTGGCATGTTTCTCCCACATTGGGCATCTTGCCCGGTCGCCATGCAGCTGCGGCAAAACCCAGTCCACCAACCGGTGACCTGAAACGCAAAAATTGAAGCACGTTGCACAGACTGTTGTGGCCATCAATAAAATACAAACTAAGATTGCAGTATCAACAGTATTGTAAGATGCGGAAAGGAGCTGAGGGGCGCAGAGTTGAGTCAAGTGCTGCACCCGCTTTGCATGCTGCCTGGCGATTCTACTGGAGTGACAGCATCCTTGCCCACGAGTCTTGACCCACCCTCCTGTCGGGAGGTGTGTTGCACCTTTTCCTGCCCATCCCTCAGCCGTCCAGCAGCCCCACCATGTGGTTCACCACGCAGCTGCTCGCAGGGGCCCCGAGACGTATCCCCTCATCCCGCCGCAGGCCCCCCCCACGTTCGGTCAACACATGCGAGGTGGTCCATGTTACAGCTGACTTCTATTTGTACACTCTGTCGACCCAATGTGCATCCTAGGTGCAAGCGCCGAGGGCCAGCAACCGCAAGCCCAGGCAAAACTTCCAAGGAGACCGCAGTGCGCCGCACCCTCGCACCCTCAGTCCGAGCCAAAGTCCGAGCCCCCATCATACTCGTCATCATCATCATCATCATCGTCCCCGCTCCCCTCTTCGCTCTCCACATAGCTCTTCACCGGCGCCCGCCGCGCGCGCCCCGCCGCCGCGCGCCCGCCGCCGGCCGCCGCCGCCACTGCCGGGATCGCCGCGCCCACCGGGCTGTCGTCGACCAATATGACGTCATCGTCCTCGACCGCCGCCGCCGCCGCCTTCTTGGCGCCCCCCGCAGCGGCCCCCTTCTTGGCGCCCGCCTTGGCGCCCCCGCCACCGCCACCGCCGCCGCGCCTGCCGCCGCCGGCCAGCGCCGCAGGTGGGGCGGGCACCGGCGAGGAGGCTGCGAGCTTGGCGACCTTCTTGCGCGCGACCGCGGGTGAGGGCGTGGCCGCGTCGTACTCTGGATAGTCGTACGCGCAGCCGCCGACGCCGGCGCCTGCGCCTGCAGGGGGCTTGAAGCCGCCGAAGGCGCCGCCGCCGCCGCTGCCTGAGGGCGCTGAGGGGCCGTCGTCGTCGTCTGAGTCCATGATGACGGCCTTGGCTGTTTGTGTGTGTGTGTTGTGGGTGTGTATGTTGTTTGTTGTGTGTGTTGTGTGTGTGTGTTGTGTGTGTGTGTTGTGTGTGTGTTGTGTGTGTATGTGTATGTGTGTTGTTTCTGTTGTGTGTGTGTGTGTGTGTGTGTATGGGGGCAAGGGTGCGGGCTTCAGGGCCAGGGCTTGACGGCACGGCATGCTTGGGTGACTTTGGGCACGCTGCTCGGGAATAGGCGGGGCGTTGCGAGGGCAGAGGCCGGCGGCGGCAGTGAGCGCAGCCGGCAGGGATGGTGCCAGGGGTGGAGTTTGAGGATGCGACGCGCTGGGCCGCGCCGCTCACCCCGCGGCTTGCGCTTCGCCGCCGCCTTCTTGGCGCCGCCGCCGTCGCCCGCGGGCGCGCCCGGCAGCGTGCGGCCAAACGCGGCCTTGCCGGGGCTCGGGC